GGGCTCGCAGATCTCTGTCGGCGACGTCCATCGGAGTCGCACGACATGCCAATCAGGAGTTGATGATATGCTCCACGTATCCGCAGTAGTACCGACCTGCAGCCAGGATGCCCCAGGCGCATCGATGCAGGCATAATATGTAGGCCTAGTCTCCCGAATTTTTCAGTAATAGCCGCAAACAACGCTTTTTGGCAGCTGCATCGCGACACGGTCACACACGGATGTTTCAGGCTCTCAGCGCACCACCTCGCCTTCTCTGTCGCCCTCCTGGCCCAGGCCCGTCAGTAGCACGCCTGAGCCATCCCAGACCGCACTTACCTTGGGTCTGCAAGCTCACACCGGCTCGTGATGCCACGGAGAGGGCTCGAGATTGTCTCCGGTGGACCCCATCCGAGGCGATTGCGAGGGCTTTACGGAGGCCATCACCGGCGCCACCGACCGTGAAATGTCCCGACCCGCAGCCCTCATGCACCAGGCGCATCGATGCAGTCATAATATGTAGGCCTTGTCTCCCGAAGTTTCGAGCAACAGCCGCAAAAGGTGCTTTTCGGCAGTTCATCGCGACACGTCCAGGTGCCGACAAAGTGGCTTCCCAGCTCACCACCTCGCCTTCTCTGTCGCTCACCTGGCCCAGTCCCATCAGTATCAAGTCTGAGCTGTCCCAAACCGTCCTTACCTTGGGTGATGAAGCCCACTCTGGCTCATACCACGGCTCTTACGGCCTCATACACGCCCGTTTCACCCACAGACACCGCCGGCACGCACTCCCACTTCACACATGCTCAAGCACAATCCCACCAAAGCACAGCCCTGCTCAGAATGGGCAAGGGCTACCACTTGGTGACCCAGGTAGCCTCTGGCTCGCCACTGCACTCGGCTCCTCTGCAGCTGTCTCGGGCTCTCCCCACGACAGCACCCCGACGGCAAGCTTTGACGCCCGTCTGGTGGGCCTGCTTTGTCCACAGCCGCCCCTCACATGCAGCTCGCACCAGGGCTCGACACCGGGCTCTCTCATCCCGGTCGTGGCGGCGTGTGTGAAGGATGCGCGGCCGAGCCGCTGCCTGGCGCCGCTTGAACGTCTGAGAGAAGCCTCCAGGAGGCGGAATGGGTCGCGGTGCATGTCGCCATCGGCCTCCGGGGGTGGGCCCGGGGCCAGGCCACTCTCGGCGCCCGAAATACCCGGCGCAGAGCCCGGCATTGGGGCCGCGCACGGACGAACGCAAACCCTATATAGGGTTTGAGGGCGGCCGCCCAAGAGCCGAAATAGGCCTTTAACCCTGGTAGGTGGATTGTCCAAAATACGTCAGCCTCGCACGCCTAGCGCTACCTAGGTAGGTCTGACACCCGACCGCCCCCCCCTCCCTAATAATATTAACCGGTCAGAGTACATTTTGGCCGGCTAATGTTAGGGAGGGGAGGCCGAAAAACGCATATTTTTGTCCACCTACCAGGGTTAATCAGCTGGACCGAATTTTACCAAGTTGGACGCCGTTGGACGTATCCAGTGTTCACTGTCTACGTGTAGCGACGGGCGCTGCGCGATAGCTGCTTTGTGGGTCCCGTGAGCCATGCCGGCTACTGTCCACCATCGATACACGGAGAACCGCTCGCACGAGTCAGCCCAGAGGCGATCGATGGGCGGGAGAGGCCTCTGGCACGGACATACAGCTCGGGCCCGACGGACGGCGCGAGGGGGCGATCTCGCGCGGTCCAACTTTGGCCTGTGTGAGGGCGTGAACAGGGGAAAAGTCGCCCTGGTTTTCTTTTTTACTATGTAAAGGCAGGCTTCGCAGAGGGGAAATCTGTACTCTCTTCTGTACTTTGAGGACGGGTACTTACAATATATAACGTCCCCAAAGTACAGCAAAGAGTACAAAAATTCTTCGAGGTTCACCTCGGAAGCCCTGATAAATGAATTCTTGGAGGTCCACCTTCAAGCCCTGATAAATGAAAAACCCGTGCCGCGCCCATGCCGAGACCGCTAACTCGAGCGAGCCCAAGCAGCGCCGGACGCTCCTCTCCACCGTGATGCTCCTCGCCATCATCGTCACCACGACGTGGCTGCGGACGGGCGTCGCCCACGACATCGTGCGCCCGCTCTCCAACGTCGCCGAGATCCCTGCCTCGCCTGCCAGGAGCGGCGTCAAGCTCATCGCTGGGCAGGTGCGCGGGTAGAGCTCTCCACCATACTCTGCCGCGATCCCGGCTGCTGCGAGCACGGCGCCGCCCGGTGCGCGCGACATGACCCCTGCCGTTCCCGCGCACGCCGGTCGCCTGGCCAGGGGTTCGAGGTGGCCCCCACCCTGGGGCCTCCCATCAAACGTGGCAGTTCCCTTGCTCCAAGCGCTTGCGCTTCGGCGGTAGTGATCTAATCACCCGAATACCACGTTCGGATCGCTCCTCATCGCAAACCCTGTCAGCAGTTCACCTACGGGTATGTATGTTCGTAAGAGCTACATACATCGAAAGGGACTGCGGCAGAAGACGCCCAATCTTGCACAAGTGCAAGAATTTAAACAAAAGAACTCTCTCTCACAGCACACAGGCTCGACACAGGTGCGAACTGGCGCGTGCTAGTACTAGATCTATCAGTGGCAAACCCACCATACACATTGCGAGGGTGGCGGCGGCGAGTCGGCGCGAGGTTCGAGGTTTGCTCGACGGAGTGCCAAGTGTCTCGCCGAAGAGTGTCTCGCCGAAGAGATCGAGGGACATGTCGTCACTTTGCGACGAGGTGCTAAGCACCGACGAGCTCCTAGGCGTCATCCTCGGCACGCTCCTGCGCGAGGATGCGCTGCGCCGCTGCAAGTGCGCTCGCCTCGTGTGCAAGCGCTGGAAGGATGAGCTGGCACGCGCCGCAAAGACGCCGCCGCGTGGCTGGAAGAGCTTCACCAAGAACTGCGTCTACCTGCGTGGCCGGGTGGAGTCACTGCCGGATGAGGCCGAGGCCGACCCGGGTTCGCGGTGGATGCGGGCCATCTACGAGCAGGGGCTGAACGGCCTGCTCGACAGCCGCTTGCCGCATGTGCATGCGTCCTGCGCCGCGCTCGTGGCGCACCACAAGGCGATGCGCCTGAGGGGGCTCTACGTCGTGCTGGCCCCCGCCGAGGCTCACCAATGCTGGCTCGCGGCATTCGCGCGCGACGGCATCTCGGCATTCGCCAACGGCGGCCGGCCCGAGCAGCGCTACGCAGGATTTGCCAGTCTCGGGCACCGGCTTGCCCAAGGACAGTCGATCGAGGTCGTCGTCTCCACGTACTCCATGGCCGCCACCGACATATGGTTCATCCTGCAGTTCCGCCCAAAGTACGTCTTTTTCGAGGGCGGCCTCGGCCAGCCCAAGCAGTACGCGTCGAGGCTCGCACCGCTGCTCCTCGCCTCGCCGCGCCTCGCAGAGCCGCCGAACGGCGTCCTGATTGACGACGCCAGCCTGCTGCAGCACCACTCCAGGAGCATGGAGCTCATCCGCTTCAGCATGGATCGGTTCATCAAAATCTAGCAGCAGGAGGAGGAGAGGCGCGGTGAGGCGAGAGCGGGGGGCGGCTCGGACGCAACCTCCGAGTCGGACTCGGTCGCCTCGGAGGAGGAGGACACGGAGCAAGCCGTGGCCGCCGCGCCGTCGCGGCCGCCCTTGTTTGACTCGCCGACGGAGTTCGGCGCTGGAGCGCTCCTGTCGCTCCTGCAGGGCGGCCGCGTCTCGAGTCTCTTGAGGCTGCTTGGGTGGGCGGTGTACACGGAGCGAGGCGTGTGAAGAAGGCCGTGGCGGCGCCGCCGGCTTAGGCTGTGGCGGCGCCGGTGGCGAAGCCGGCGTCGGCGCCAGCGACGTGTTCAAACGACAAAACCGCGCGTCGCTTTTCCGAACGCCGCTGTGCCGGGGCTATGGCCTCTATGCCGGTTTCCATTTTCTGAGCAGCTCGGAGCTCGACGTCGAGCTCTGGGGTGGGCAGGGCCAGGGGCTTTACCGTAGCTTCCCCGTTTTGGTCTCGAGTTTGGATCTCACACGTGCGACCGCTGGAAACAAGTCAAGAGTCTAGACATCACGCCCTCCACGCGGCTCTATAGAAGTAGAACGCCCGAGCAAGAAAAAAGCAAAAGAAAAAGGAATCGCGCCGCCCGCGCGGTCGCCCAACGCCCAACCACGCCAGGGCCCCGTCGAGATCGTCGTCGCCGCGACATCGAGACCTCCGGTGATCTCGGGTGATCTCGGGTGATCTCCGGTGATCTCCGGCGGGTCGGGCGGCGTCGATCTCCGAGAGGGAGTCGAGTCTAGCGTTCCTCAAGATGACGCACTACTCAACTCAACCCTACGCCCGCATCGATGTGGGAGGCAAGGCCACCCGTCGATGCGACCTGCTACCAAGCGGTGGGGCAGGAGATTGGAGGGGCCCCTTGCAGAGGTGGCGCGAACAGCTTCAGCTTTTCTCGCCCGCTCTGCTGAGGGCGAGGCGCCGAGCTTCGGTTCCAAGCTTCCAACGCTGCAGCACTCTCCCTCTATTCACAGCAGAGAGGCGACGCGTCCTCACGCGCGTCCTCGTCCCCACCTGCTCTGCTTCAACGTGCTGCCATGGACCAGCGCGCCTCGCGCCATGATTCAATCGCCCCCACCCGCCCTCTTCCTGGCGATATTCATGGCTCAGAGCTGATTGAGCTCTCTTGTTCATGGGTCTCGGTGGAGAGACGACTTGAGGAGACGACTAGTCTCACTCCCCCGCTTTCGTCACGCAGCGTGTTCTGTTCATGTGTGTCGTGATGCTTCGCCAGCGCTCACCCACAGACTTTGCGCAAGCCACGGCTCGCAGCACCCGCGCCACATGGCCCGCCCGCCTTGTCACACGAGCACCTCGCCAGCACACACTCCCGCCCGCACCGCACCAGCGCCCCTGTCACCTGATCTCGACTTGCCGCGTGCCGCGCAGGACGAGGAGGACGCGACATATGACCAACACGGTCGCCGCGACGCTCGCGCTCATTGCGCTCGTCGTCGGTCCCGCGCGTGCTGTTCAGCCGCAACGGATGATTATGCACGAAGGGCTGCTGCTGGGCAAGCTGAGCGCCCTGCCACCATGGCTGTCGGCGCTCGGCGTCTCCCTGGTCGGTCACGAAAAGGCGCAGCACATGGTGCGGAGCATGTCAAAGGTGACGGCCATCAGCACGCTGGGCGTCACGGTGAACGTGACGGCTCTTGCCAAGGACGACACCATCGGGCGCCTCCAGAAAGAGTTTGCAAACCGCCGTGACGCTTGGGGACGCGATTGTGGGGAATGTGACGACTATGGACTTCGCCATCTCACCTCGCCCATGCCTCTCATCCTTGACGTCGGCGGAAACATTGGCTTCATCTCCTCTCTCATCGCACGTGTGCACCCCCAGTCGCAAGTCATCGCCTTCGAGCCCTCACCAGTCACCTACTTCATCCTCCGCATCAACTTCTGGCTCAACGGCGTCCATGTGCTAACAACGGAAGAGCTCCAGGGGCGCCCGAAGATCGGAGGCGTATACCCAGTCTTTGGCGGGTTGGGAGCCAGTCGGGCGCCGTTCGAGTGGCTCGAGGTGGCAGGCAATGCGCTCGCTCAGAGCCAGAACGTGAACATCAGCTTCGGCAAGTCAGGCGAGGTGCCCGTCTACCATTGGGAGAGTTTCATGGAGTTGCATGGCCTCACGTCTCACGGTGTACGACAATGCAGGAGCAGTGACCAGCTACACCCGGGGGCAGAGCGACGCCAAGGGCGCCTTCATGCCGCGGTGCTGGTTCAGCGTGGACCAGCAGACAGGCATCCTCCTCGATGGGAATCACGTTCTCAATGTGCTTTTCAATGGGGCATTCTGGTCGCGGCTTCTGACCGCTCTGGACGCGGCGAACCTCTTCGCCACCTCCATGGAGAAGATCGGCGTGCTACACCAGCGGCTCCCCGATCTACCCATCATAATCACCGCAGGGTGGAACCCATCATAATCACCGCAGGGTGGAACCCATCATAATCACCGCAGGGTGGAACCCATCATAATCACCGCAGGGTGGAACCCATCATAATCACCGCAGGGTGGAACCCATCATATTGCGAGTAGGGAGGAGGAGGCTGCGCTGCGCAAGCACGGGCGGGAGGGGCTTCTCCTGCGGAGTCGTGCGTGCGCAGGGCTCCTCTTTGCTTTCTTCTACTCCCTTCTATCATCTCGTTCCCGTCCTACCAGAGAAGGTTACTTCCCCCAGGATTGGTCTTCTCTGCCTGCCGGGGGGCGGGAACACTGGCGCCGGGTGGGGCTGCGGCTGGAGCTAGCATGGCTCGATAGAGCCGAGACCCCGTGTTGAGGCGGCTTTCCTGTGGGCGGCTGTGGAATCGGCAGATTCGACCTCAGGTCTCCAGTACTCTCATCCCAGTGGATGGACGTCCGGACGTCCCTTTGTGTTCCTCTTCCCGTCCGCCAGCGAGACGCCCAGTCGCTGGCGGCCGCAGTTTTCTGTGACCCACCCACCTCTCCCTTGTGTTGTGTCTGGGGGGAGGGGCTTCTCCTGCGGAGTCGTGCGTGCGCAGGGCACCTCTTTGCTTTCTTCTCAGGAGTCGTGGTGTCGTGCGTGCGCGGCAGGGGAGGGCTCCTCTTTGCTTTCTTCTACTCCCTACTATCATCTCGTTCCCGTCCTACCAGAGAAAGGCTGGGGCACAGGGCTAGTTAGGCTGGATGCGTCGTCATCGAGGGCGACCCGAAGCCATTTTGCTCCATTCAGACGGACGAGCGAGGCAACCACATCCCGGGGCAGTGGGCGTAACACTGCCACCCGGGTCAGTGAGAGGGCCGGCGTGGGGCCAAGGCGAGAGGTGCGCGATGCGGCTCGCGGAGCGGGAGGTAAGGGATTCCATGAAGAGAGCGTGGATTCCGAGGCTTTGGAAATCTTTGGACGCCGACGGATACTCGTGAATTGGAAAAGAGCGCCGAAAAACAGAGACAAAATATGCCCCGAGCCCAAGCTTTGCTCCCGACACCGTCTCGTAGACCTCACGATCGACGATCCATGCGGTGGGTTGAGAGGGTCGTCCGAGAGCGGGTCGTCTCCAAATCTCTATGCACGGGCGAGACAAACCAGCGCCCGCTAGAACGAACCGCGACCTATCGGCCCTACCCGGCGGGCGACGTTGCGTTGAGTGGGAGCCGCCCGGTCAACAGCGAACCTATAGACATCAGAGTCGCGCCATGTCAGCACTCCGGCCACGCTGAAGGTGCCGCCGCTGTGTGGCCTTGAGACCCAAGAGCGCGAAGTCGCCGATCAGCGAGAAGGTCGGGTGGCTGAAGGTGGCGGGCCTAGTACACCACTCACCAGGCGCGCCTGAAGAGACGCCGCTCGCAGCGAGGGGGCGGCGGCTAGCAGGTGGCCGGTTGCGCTCGACGAAGAAATGCGCGACCTGTGAGGAGCGTGGAAGCGTGAAGATTCGACGGTCTCCCCGCAGTTGCGCTCGAGGCGGAGCAGCGGGCAGCCCAGGGCAGCACGTAGCCGCAGGCGAGGTGGGCAGCCTATGGGGTTTAAGATCACAACGTGATCTTAATAGGGCACACCAGCGATGATGACTGATAACTGACCATTCTCGGGATGGCCACAGGCAGGGTCGCTGGGCGCAGGCCGCCCACACAGCTCGCGGCGATCTCGGCGCTATCTCTCAGAGATGTCTCGGCTACATCTCGGCCGTCTGCGAGGGCGGTAGGCCAGAGTAGAGCCGCACAACGCCCATGAGGAGCGAGACCATTACGGCCGCCTCGGGCAGGCCGCTGCTGCAGCTTGCGGTGGCATCAGCGCCAAGAAGCGAGAGGCAGATGCCTGATCACAGCAGAGTGAGAGGACAGGTGTAGTATATCCAGTCGGACGTTGATATCTCGCGTTCTCATCTAAGAGAGCTGCCGGAAGCAAAGCCGAGCCCAACGCGGAGACTCGAGGCCGCGCCAAGGCGGACGGCGATCGAGAGGACGACGAGAGTCGTCCCGACCCCGTGCAGGAGCTTTGTCGTAGTGAGCGAGTGTTGCTGCACATACAGCGGCCAGAAGGATTCGAAATCGGCAAAGGAGCGGCTGGGCGGCCTGGCAGCGGCGACCGCCGGACGGTGTAGCGCGATGGCGACGCAGACGGCGGTGAGTGCGGCGCAGATATGGAGGGGCGGCCGATGCGTCGAGGCCATTGCTCTGGGCGGAGACCACAGCGAGTTCAGTTCACAGCCTTGTTATTGAGAAGAAAATACCTGGCTTAGCCCCTGGCGTAGCTTCGCAACCTCGAAACACGCAACCTCGACACCTCGACAACGTCGACGCGCCCCCCTCTCCCGGAAGCTCCGGCGCCGCTCATGCAGAACTTGCGGAAGCCGAGCAAGGTCGTCTCGTCCCAGGGCGCATATATATTTGTTTGGTATTGCTAAAAATCTCTCTCTCATATTGGCCCTCTCGGACGACGGCAAGTGGCGCGCCGCCCCCTGAGGCTGCACCACCGCCGCCGACTCCGCCGCCCTAGGTCCATGCATTAATCGTTGTGCTTATGTAGGCGCGCCGTCCGTCACCGGAGCGCCGACTGCGGCCCCCGCGACGCCAAGGCCGCCCGCCGCCCCAAGCCCCGGCCGCATTGCACAGCTTCTGCGGAGCTGGTCGCCGGTGAGCCCCGCCGTCCGCTGAGCGTGAAGGGTGCGGTAGCGGGCCATGTGTGTGTGCTCGGATTCTAGTTTTTTAAGAAGCACATACTCATGTTGTGTTCGCGGACTGCCTCATATTACGTGAAAAGAGCTGAACGCAAACGTTGATCAGAGAGACAGGCGCGGCTGGAACCCGCCCCCTTCCGTGGCCTCATACTCCTCGCAAGCCTCCTCCCCTTCCGCCTCCCCCCCCTGGTCGCTGGCACGCCTTAGCCTAAGCACGCTTTTCTCGCCAAGTACTATCTATATTCTTTTGCTTATATTCTCGCCAGACCATCTATATTCTCGAGAATATTCTCGAATATTGAGAATATTTTCCCCACGCGAGAGGTCAGCGGACGCCAAAAATCGCTCTAAAGTAGAGGTTTGTGCTCCCAAACCGCTCAGGAACGTCCAAAACTTAAAGATTTCCGTCTGCATCGACCCAAAACCTACTGTTGAGGGGGCAAAAGAGCTGCTTCGAGAAGCTGTAGTCAAGACCGTTATAGACGCCGCGATGTAACGTCGAGAATATTCAAGAATATCTTGACACTCGAGGTCAACCAAGGTCAAGGACTGAAGAAATCTCGTAGATTCTTGAGAAAAAGCCGCGCCGGGGCATCTATATTCTCGAGAATATTCTCGAATACGAAAGTGCGCGGGACCATCTATATTCTCGGAGATATTCGAGAATATTGTGCTTAGGCCAAGGCACGCCCACCCTGAGGCGTGGCCCACGCTTCTTCGCCGAGACGAAGTTCGCCTTCAGCTTCTCGTGCTCCTTCTTCAGCTGAGCAAGCTGTCCTCCAGAGTCTTGGCGCGGTTGCGGCGGAACGACGGGGCCGGGCGGCGGAGTCGGCGGCGGTGGTGCAGCCTCAGGGGGCGGCGCGCCACTTGCCGTCGTCCGAGAGGGCCAATATGCGCCCTGGGACGAGACGACCTTGCTCGGCTTCCGCAAGTTCTGCATGAGCGGCGCCGGAGCTTCCGGGAGAAAGGGCGCGTCGACGTTGTCGAGGTGTCGAGGTTGCGTGTTTCGAGGTTGCGAAGCTAGGATTCCTACGCCACTCCAATCAAATGCGGAGAGTTACTCCCGCCCTCCTCCTGGCCCTGGCCCTCCAACCTCCCGGACCCGGCGCCGCCGCCGAGCCCGCTGCCGCCGCCGTGGACGAGGTCGAGCGCTACCTTCTCGTCGATCCACCCGCGCACGCCCGCCTCAATGAGCAGCGTCTCTACATCGAGCGGTACGCGGCCCTCGCGGTGGCGCTCGGCCGCACGCTGGTCCTTCCCCGCTGCCGCCTGCACGAGCACCCCCCAAAGCCGCGGCACCAGATGCTGGGCCGTGTCGACGGCTTCACCCGTGGCGGCCTCCCGCTCCCCGCCGTCGAGAGCGGCGAGGAGGAGGAGGAGGAGGCGGCGGCCGAGGCGGAGGTGGAGGGGACGACGGAGGGTGCGTGCGGCGGCGGCGGCTGCGGCGCGGCGCACGCCAAGCTCGCGCGCCTCTCCCTCTCCACCGTCGAGTGGGGCGCCCTCTTCAACGTGAGTGCCATGCGCGCCGCGCTGCCGGCGGTCGAGCTGCGCCGCTTCTTCGCTCTGTCGGCCGGAGAGGCGGCAGGGAGCGCGGGCGGCGAGGCGGCGCTGCGCGCGACGCTCGTGCTGGTTGGTCTCGACCGCTGCGGCAGCGTCGCACGGGACGTCCCTCCCGGCGGTGGCGCTCCCTTCAACCGTGCACTGCTGCCGGTTGCTGCAGTGCACTGCTCCGACCGTCTCGACGGCGGCGGAGGCGGAGAGGGCGGAGCAGAGGCTGACCGGATAGCGTGGCAGCCGGGCGCGTCGGGTGGGCTGCCTACCGAGTGGGACCCCTCCGCCATCGCTGCGCTGCGGCGCCTCTCTTCTTCCCGCGTCCTCGCCTTCAACCTGCTGCACCGCCCGCCCGCCTCTCTGCCGGTGCTGCCGCCGCTGCCGGATGCGATGCCAGGCGTGCCAAGCCTCGCGGACCTAAAACCCTGACGGCCCCGACCCCGACCCCGACCCGACTCTCGCCCGACTCCCGCCTGCTGTCGCCTCTGCCGCGACGCGAGGCACTCACTGCAACGGTTGCAGCTCGGCCTGTAGCCGCGATGTAGCCTCTCCAGGGCCCCTGCGGCCGCCACTAGCGCGCCCCGTCCCCCTCGCCGCAGGGATCGGGCTGGGCGCCGTCTCTCCACTGCGGGGTGCGGTTCGGTTGCACGGTGCGTTCGAGGCCGCGGCGGAGAAGGTTGCGGCGTCGCTGCTCGGAGGCGCAGCAGTAGCCCCCTCTGTCGCCATCCACGCGTCACGGCCCTCTCCTTCTCAAGACGCGGCACTCTCTCCCGCGTAGGCGAGCCGTCCGCCGCACACCGCCCGGGTGTCATCTTCTTGACCCGCGGTCTTCGTGTCGTCAGGCGAGCCTTTCGTCGCCATCCATTGGCGGCGCGGGGCCGACTTCCTCGCCGCGCGGGCCGCTACGCGGGGCGCGCTCCAGTCGCCTCACTCTCTGGTGCGGCACACGCGCCGGCTGATGAAGCGGACGGGCGTCCGGCGCCGCTTCTTCGCGACCAGCTCGTGCTCTCTTCACGCCTCTCTGCGTATGGCTCACACGCCTCTCTTCTAGGCGCTCTTTCCTTGCGACCGACTCGGTCGTGGCGGCGGAGCTAGCCCACGTCACCGCCAAGCTGCGGCCGGCGATGATCGAGCGGAGGAGCGGGCAGCAGCTGGCGCCGGAGCCGGCGCCGCTGCTGCCGCCGCTGACGGCGCGCGACGTGGGCGGTGTCGGGTCCGATGCGGCGGCGGCGGCGGGCGCGCTCCGCCTCTCGGCGGCGATGGGGTTGTTCGACTTGGCGGTGTGCGCAAGGGGCGCCTACTTTTTGGGCAGCGCGACCTCCTTGTTCACGCGGTCCATCCTGGAGGAGCGATTGGCGGTGAGGGGGCACGAGCCCTCTTCGGCGGCGGTGCTGGGCGAGAGCCACGCGGTGACTCCGCTACCCGTCTGCAGCGGGGAGGACTGCCCGCAGAGGGAAGGGCGAGGCGGCGCCGCGGGCGAGGCGAGCGCGGAGCGCGCGGGCGGCGGCGCTGGGGGTGGCAACTCCGTCAGGGGTGGCAGCGCCGCCGTGGGTGACGGCGCGGCTGGGAGCGACGGCGGCGCCGGGAGTGGTGGCGGCGAGGCAGAGCGAGGGCCCGCCCTCGCTGAGGAGGAGGAGCTCAAGTTGGAGCTGTGAGAGCGCGCGAGAGACGGCTCACGGGTACAGTCAGTGCAACTCCTTGCCAGTTGCCTGCCCGCCCCTGCAAAAAGGCGCCGAGTCGAGGACGACGCGACCTGTTTATTTATTCATCGTACAACGCTGGATATCGCGACGATGGCCCCCTCTCCTGTATAAATATCTCGTACCTCTTTAAGGCGGGATTAAGCTTGCTACACGACGGCTACGGCTCTAGGGCTAGTGCTACGGCCTACGGGGTGTGGAGGGTGAGTTGAACTCTTGAACAAGGGGTTGTGCGCCGGGCCCTCCTGCTCGGCTCCAGCCGGTAGACAAGTCTTGTCATCAACAGAGTAGATGGATCTGACCTCGGGGCCGATGTGACCAACACCAAGCGCTGGTAGC